ACCTTTGTTTGAACTTCAACGCCAGGGTCTGGCACGTTTGGGCATTGGCAAGAGCAGCCTCCTGGACGGGCCAGCACTATATAAGACTGGCCCGCCCTACAGGCTGCAGGCGGTCAGGAGGCAGTTCATAGGAACTTCCCAGGCACTTCACGTGCAGGAGGCAGGAGGTAGTCTTCAGGATTCGGCAGCAGCACTCTGGAGGAGCGCTGCAGGAGTAGTAGTAGCGTTAGCAGTAGTCTTCAGCGCTGGGCGCTAGTAGGAGCTAGAGTAGCGTTACAGAGAGAGAGAGAGATGGTTGGTGGAGGCCAGGGAGACTTACCTGTGGCTCCATAGCTCCAGCTTCGTCTTCAATGTACCTGCAACAAGGCGCCACCTTCATAGGTTAGTACCGGACTCTGAGAGAGAGAGAGAGTTCTTCTTCTTCCTCTTCTAAGTCCACCATCTCTTCCTCACCCTTTCGCTACCTGACTTCTCAGTATCTGCAGACTACGAGAGAGGGAAATTGGTGACTTTAGGACTTGGCGACATTTGGATCCAGACTCGACATTGGGATTCAGACATTTGACGAGGGATTATTTGGGGACTGTACCGAAGACTTGGTGTTGACGACATTCCCATCTTCCCCTCTTCTTCGTCTAACCCCCCTCTTCTTCGTCTGTGTATAGTTGGGGACTGGCGGATTCTTCCTGTGTGAGCGCCAGGCCCCTTCACACCATGGAATGATGATGATGTATGTTTGGTCTGCATGGCAACATTGAATGTTCGGATCATTGGTATTTAAGCCTTCCGCTGTGCTATCTTGTACTATGTGAGAGAGGTCGGTTCTTGTTCTGGTCTGTACCGTTACGGTATGCAACATTTGTTGTCCTCTTCTCCATCTCTGCTGACGGTTTACCGGGCAGCTCTGTGTGACAATATATATATTATATATATAAAATATCTAGGCTACCAGCCGGGCCGCCCGGGTCCCAGGTGGCCAGGCCGTGCAAGGACCAGGGACGGTCCCAGCAAAACAAAACAAAAAAAAAAACGTCCAAAAAATCCGAAAAAAACCTATGTTATGCAGAAAAATAAACTGAACAACGTTTGCCCCAGGGTCACATCGAAATTCTTCACCAATTTTAGAATAAAAATCAAATTCTAAAAATATTACAATAATGTTTTTATTTTATTTATTTTTATTTTTTTTGGCCCGGCCGGGCAAGTTACCCCGGGCCACTCTGGTAGCCTAGTAAAATATATGTTTATAATATTTATATGTATACCACAACTTCTTGTGTATCTATAAACTCTGCCGAAACAATTTGTCACAGCCCCTCGTTTGTTGTCCTCCTCTCCCTCTCTGCCTACGGTTTACCACGCAGTTCCGTCTGCGGATAGCACAACTTCATGTGTATGTGTTCGCGCCCCTTCGCGTTCGCGCGAACGGCTCGCGAACGTGTTCGGGCGAACTTTCATTTTTCGCTAAAAGAAAAGAATGTTTTCGTTTTTTTTTTTTTTTAACTCACGTTTGGCTAAGAATTTGTGGGGAGCGGCATCATAAGAATAGCTAGACTGCTAGAGTCTATGGATAGCATCAGGCGGCGGCCCAATGAAGGGCTGAAGAGGCAGATCTAGCAAAGTCCACTTGCTCTCAAGGACTGGATTTCATAGCAGGCACCAAAAGCTTTGATGTGTGCAGGCATAAACATGTGAGATGTTATAATGTGCAGGGACGCTGGACCCGGTTTCCAGCAGGTGCTGCTCCCCACCAATAGACGGAGCCGCCATGAGAAGTAGTAGTGGTGTCTGCTCTTACCAGCACCACTACCACCTCCTCGGGCCGTCTTTCTTAAAAAAAAAAAAAAAACAGAATTTGAACACGACTCCAAGGCAAAAGTTGCTTGTGTTGTTGTTTTACATGACATATATTTTTTCTGATTTTTCTGATTTTTCTTTTTTTTTAATATAGATTTTTTTTATTTTTTTTTTTCCCCAGGCGGCTCCATCTATTGGTGGGGAGCAGCACCTGCTGGAAACCGGGTCCAGCGTCCCTTACTTGATTATCCGTTATAGGAGAACATATCGTCCCATCCTGTTCTGTCCTTTGTCACTAAAACCGTGGCCTTTTCATTGTTTTATGTTCGCGTTCGGAGGCAGTTCGCATTCCGGGGAACATGTTCACGATCGCCTCTGAACGCGAACACGATGCTATGCACGCTTTTTGCCAATGAGCCTCGTAATTTTTAAATTATGTTTTTCCATTTTCTATTATTTGTTATTTAAACTTACTTTAGAACCTTCGGTTATGTTAACTGTTGGGTTATTACTACTTATTAGATACCCAATAGATAGCAACTCTTCACTTTGTGACAGTTTAGCCATTGTATAGCGATTTTGTTATGTAGTATTGTCTCTTTATAGACTCTTTAACTGCATCTTTAGATTGTTTGTCACACCCTGGGCACTGGGCATCTTTAGACGTGTCACGCCCTGGGCACTGGGCCGTAGTAAAAACAGCTCTTCCATTAAAAAAAAAAAAAAAAAGTTGTTCAGTAACTTCAGTTGATTTTTCTGCATAACATAGTTTT